ATAACCATTAATAGTTCATGAGCCTCTCATCACCTTAAACTTCCAAACATGCTCAATATGAAATACACAGATACAGTGAAGAGCAGCACAAAGACATTTAGGATGCTAGAGACGACTCTGACAAACCTCCATGAACTATCCTTTAGTAACATATCCAATAATGACGGAACATGTGTTTGGATGTGTGTGGATTGTCTTATTTTATTGTCATATATGCCAGACCTAACCAGTCTTAATGAGAGTCACCCTTTCAAGTGATTTGAAGTTCATATGTTTATGGATCATTCTTCCTCTTTTTCATACCGTTGATGTTTTTTTATGATCATATATCAAAATCAACTCTCTGATTTGAAACTTACTGTGAGAGAGTTTGATCTGCTTATGAAACAGACTGAAATTAATCTTGATTTCTCTTCATGATTGGCTAAAGTCAGTGAGACCAACCACATTATAAAGTCATTTTAAAGGTCTGCCTGTTCCCACCTGGTCGGTGTCACATGAGGAGAATCACAGGACGCTGTTTGGAAAAGCCTTTTATTTACATTTTCTACAGAAGATATTCACACTGACTTGTAGTTTGTAGAGTTTAAAGAAAGCCTGATGAGTTTTTTGTTAGGGAATCCTGTACAGGACAAGACCAGTGAAGAGACAAGAAGATTCACTTTGTCCACAGGGGGTGCCAAAACGGACAAGTAATGAAAGTTCCTCCCAGGAGCTTTGAGTGTTTGCATTTAAGAATGATCAGGAAGAACTAAAGTATTAATGCATCCTAATAAAGTCCTTCAATGTTAGAATGAACAGACGATGATCATGTCAGTGTGTTCATGTGTGCAACATCACACATTCATCCATGAAGCTCACTGTCATCTACATTTACATCTGTATTCTTTATTCAGATTGAGGGGCTGCAGTTTGTCAGAGATCAGCTGTTCTTCTCTGGCCTCAGCTCTGAAGTCCAACCCCTCCCATCTCAGAGAGCTGGACCTGAGTGAGAACGAGAAGCTGCAGGATTCAGGAGTGAAGCTGCTTTGTGATTATCTGCAGAGTCCACACTGCAGACTGGAGACTCTGAGGTCAGATCACTGACTGTGTCAGTATTCGTATATTGTCAATCCACATCCTCGATGGTTGCACATTTCAGCATTTATATATATTTTTAGTATTTGGCTGAATTTAAATCTCGGGAATTTAATTTTAAGGAGTTTTTTTTCAAGTTGCTGAATAATTCAGAGATTTTATCTGAAAATAGTTCTATGACTATGTGAAGTGAAGTTCAACAACTTGCACATGAAACCTCTGGTTTCCTCTGGTTCTGTTAATAACTGAAATCATGATGACTTTTGATTCAATAATGTCTGATTTGATAAATGTACTAACATCACAGAGCTGAATGAGATCAGCAGCCAGTTATTCATCTGTGCACATGAACAGCTGTATGAATGTTGTGCTGGCACAGGAGGATTGAGATTTTGTGAATACACAATCTGAAATGATACTCTAATCATTTAGAGAAAACTTAATCAGGACAAAGTGATGTTGAGATACTCATCAGAACTTGAACATGTGAGTCGATTATGAATTATTATTCCACAGGGGGCGCCAAAATGGACAAGTAATGAAAGTTCATTCATTTGAGTGTTTGAATCTAAATATGTCACGTCAGTGTGTTCATGTATGCAACATCACACATTCATGCATGAAGCTCACTGTCATCTACATTTACATCTTGTATTCTTTATCCAGATTGAGTTGCTGCAGTTTGTCAAAGATCAGCTGTTCTTCTCTGGACTCAGCTCTGAAGTCCAACTCCTCCCATCTCAGAGAGCTGGACCTGAGCAGAAACCAGCTGCAGGATTCAGGAGTGAAGCTGCTGCGTTATCTTGAGAAGACTTGATTTGACTGGAGACTTTGAGGTCAGTCTCTCTGTGTTCTTTAGTAAACCCTCCACATATCAAGTCAACAATATATATATGTGACAGGTCAATTGAGAACATTGATGTTTATTGCTTGGTTATCGGGGACCCCACAAACTAATTTTTGTTGTACTTGTCAATTTGAAATTCTTAGTTTATAATGTTTTTGAATTCATCTTCAAAGTTGCTAATGTTAATGTATTTTTCTGAACTGCAACATTATTCAAGCAGTTCATGTTGACATGTTATTAATTAAATGCGCTGCATAATCTACACCACTAGGTGGAGTCTGTGAGTGAAAAACAACCACAGACTTTGACTTATAGCACACTTGGCCAGCCAAGTTTCACAGAAAGGACAGTTTCTGCTAGAGAGATAACTGTCGGAGGTTACTGGCGGCCCTGGTAAAGGAAAAGTTTCCAAGAGCGTGTTCACATAAAAGGGGTGGAGTTAGCTTCATATAACGTATCACAATCATCACTGAGTCTGCTGTCAGCAGATCGTCATATCCAACACACTCTGAACAAACTGATTTAATAATATAAATAAGTTTAAGACAAACTTGGCAGAAAAAATAGAAACATAAAATGTAAACATTATAGTAACTACTCTGTTCACCTCTCCCTTCCGTCATCATTGCTCCATTTGACAATTAAATCTGTAAAAAAAACATTATGTCTTAAATTTAGGTCAAAGTAGCGCACTCTACAGGCCTGGAGCTCCTCTGTTTGCTTTCTGTTGCATGTTTGTCCTGGTATTTTGGGTGTTTGGCTTTTCATCCTTTTATTTATTTGATGTACATTTACGGCTAATATTTTAATTTTGGCTTTTTCAGACAGGTTCTTTATTTGATTACACATGTCCACATAGCTGATATTTCACAACCTCTCTTTCTGCAGGACTAAGGACTGTGGATAAACATCTTGGTTACTTTTTACCAAGAAACAACCAGGAACTGATTAATGATTTAAGTCTCCCTCTCAGACAAGCTCTGGAAGACAGGATATTATAAACTTTTACAATGCCTTGAGTAAACAACCAAGCGGAAACAGAACACTCTGCTATCTACGAATTGACCCTAAAGACATGAACTGTGACCGAAACCAGTCTCTGCAAAGTCATAAAAATTGACCATCTGTTGAACGACTGCTGAAGAACTGATTAAACCACAGTGTTTAATTCTGTATCAAATGAACATTTATATCTTTCTTCATCTAGATATTTCTAATAGTCACATTGAATGTATTGTAATCATCTTTTTAAACTCAAAATCAAACATTATTACGGTCATTTCTTTTATTAAGCACCCTGCTGTTTGAGGCACAAGGTTTGTATTTATTTTGTTTCACATGCACATTGATAAGAAGTTACTTAAAAGTCGCATTTTATAGTTTTAAGTTTTAGAATGTGTTTTGGCTAGCAAAGATGCTGCATCTTGGAACCGTAATTCGATCAGGTTAACGTGTGTGTGTGTGTGTGTGTGTATATGTGTGTACATACATGTCGAGGTGTGCCTAAGGTTTAATTCATATTCACTTTTATATAACAATATTAAGTTCATCATTTTACACATAAGAAAATTTAAAGGTTTAAGTTCATATATTGTGTAGGTATACACCAGGGGTGCCCAAACAGTCGATCGCGATCGACCAGTAGATCACTGACTGATTCTCAGTCGCGAGATGTTTAGTCAATATAAAATATAATTGTAAAATAGAAACGTGATTTCAATTTCATCTCATTGCAGTGTTTCCCACACATAGACGGTACCTGGGTGGGGAGCCCAAGTATACTTCCGACCTGTTTGTATTTAATTTTTCATTTATTCATCAAATTGCTGCGTGCATGAGAGAGCGCGCAAGGACGTGCAGGTAAAACCGGGGCGGGTAAACGTTTTACCAAAAAGTCATATAAGGAAACTATGCTATGAGTATTAAGCGCATTTGATGTAGCTGCAGCTACTTTTCTCTGCTCCTCTCTGCTGTCATGACTGTGAGCATCGCGGGGCACGCTGAGACACACCAACATACAGTGCAAACGCACACACATACACACACTTGCATTGGTTCAAAAAAGGTTGGGCACCCCTGGTATACAATATAATAATATTTTCTTTATTACTCTCTTTTAGTTCTTACAGTGTTTCCATTAAAAACGGAAAGTAAAGAACTTCAAATAAAAGTCTGAAACATCAGTTTGAGAGCCAGGCCATCTATAACAGCATGGGGAATGCTACAGTGGATCTGATAGAAATAATATCGAAATGAATGTATGGTGATGTATATATGTTTAGATTCTTATTCTTAATCTTATTGAGTAAACTTAAGTTTAATTTAAACAAATGTCCTCCGGTCAGAGTGGGAGTAACCCTTGGGTGGCCCCCTCTCTTGCAGCTTTTAAAAGTTCAGACTCAGCTCAGATCTCTGCTCTTGTTTTTTTGGGGGTTTTTTCCCGCTTCTCTTTGGACTTCAGTTCGAATCACCTTAAGACTTTTAAGTTTGTGCCGTAGAGAGACAAATCTCTGCTGAACTTTTTCTTCGTAAACTTTCAGCGCACATTTTTGGAATCTCAAATTCTTTCTAGCTCGAGCAATGCCCCTTTTACTTTCTTTTCCAAAGTCTCTGCTCTTCAATTTTGAACGCCAATTTCTTAATTTAGATTCACAATATATATGTATGGGAGGGGGGCGTTGGTTTTGCGGTTTAATTTGTAACGAATGTTTCATGTCATGTACGTCTTGTAACCTGCTACTGGATGCTTTGAATTTCCCTCGGGATCAATAAAGTATCTATCTATCTATTGAGATGGCCATCATGTTAATTTAAATTGGAAATCGACACATCAAAAGATTCTTTAATAGTTTTCCTGTTGGATCCACTTGGAGCTGATGACGACACAACCGCGACGGCTGAATTGCCATTCTACCTCCACCCTCGCTGCATACTCCGACCCAGCTACTGCGGCATCTGATCTGGCCCGTGGACCTCTCTGGTAGCCCTGGAAGGGACAACTTGTCGGAGACTGAAACGGGACCAGTCGGCAGAGTTCATCCGAATCACCTCACAGTAAAAGTATTGGTTCCGCAGTGGGTGTTGAGAGATCAGATTGGTCGTGTCTATTCAGAGCTCCTTTAAATCTGCCTTAAACAGAGCCAGCCATTTTTATCAACTTGGAAGGACTAAGTGGAAGGAGAGGAGGCTGGCGTTGGCTGTTCGCCGCTTCTCCACCAGAACAACCTGAGTATTACCTGGTTTTAGTACGGAATTTAATCCGCTCATGTTGTATAAAGTCATGTTGTATAAAGTTTAAACATTTATACACGTTTTTAACTTCGAGGCATTTTTGCACGGTTTGTACTGACCTGACGGTGGCTTTCCGATCCACTGTCATCTTTTTCAACACCGGCAAACTGCGAGTAAATCTTCTGCTGTCGGTAGACAACCCGGACCTTCCAGTCTCTGTTTAGAGCTACTTCTGTGAGGTTTCTCCCGAACAGCCTCGCAGATGGTTCCCCGGAGCAGATAGGCTCGCTACCTTGGACTGCTAACTCCACTGCCAGCTAGCCAAAAGCTACCTGTCCTCCAGTCAACAAGCGGCCGGTGGCTACGCGCTGACTCCAGGCTAAAACCACCGGCGACCGGCATAAATCGCATGATGTTGTCATTTTCCATCCCGCAACTGTTGACACTCAACAATTGGACCACTCCAACATTCATCACAACCATTAAACAACTTGGACTTCTGCGTCGGCCCCGTTACATCCACAGAAGCTCCCGTCAAAAGTTTGTTTACTTCAAGCCCAGTCACTCCATTCCATCCATCTGGTCCTCAGCCGAGTGCACCGTCGCATGTCAGTACGCTGCCGTCCCTGGAACAAGTAGCACTGGAAACTCCGCGAGATCGCCAAACTTTAAGCAGCACAGAAAACGTGGAGTGGACTCCAGTCTTCTTCAGCCTCTACAACGATTCTCCCCTTCCTCAGCAGTCAAAATAGAGCTTTTTAATGCACAATCCATCTCAAATAAATCATCCTTTATTCAAAATCACATCTCAGACAAGGGCATTGACTTAATGTGCCTAACTGAAACTTGGCACCAGCCAGGCGTCTTCTCTGCCCTAAATGAAGTCTGTCCTCCTGGTTACAGCTACCTCGAGAAAGCCCGCAGCTCTGGGCGTCGGGGTGGCAGTGTAGCTGTCTTTTTCCAAAATTCATTTGAACTGTCCCCCCTGCCCCTGCCTGAACTGTCCTCATTTGAATGCCTTGAATTTAAATGTAAATCCCCTTTCACCATGACAGTTCTTCCATTTACCGGCCACCCAAACCAAACTCAACCTTCATCTCAGAGATGCACGACCTTCTCTCTTCACTCTGCACAACCTCTGCCAACATTATAATACTTGGAGATATCAATATCCACGTCGACACCCTCTCCAGCCACCCTGCAGCTAAGTTCTTAGAACTACTGGACTGTCTCAACCTAACACAACATGTTGATTGTCCCCACTCACACCAGGGGGCACATGCTTGATCTGGTGATCACTCACTCTGCACCCATTACAAACGTATTAGCATACGATTTGGGTGTGTCTGACAACAAGGCTGTCTCAATGGAGCTGCCTTTCCAGTCTGCTCTCACCAAACCCAAGCGCCAGATTCACTTCAGAAATCTAAAAAACATCAACCCAGACTCACTAACACTAACACTAACAATAACACTAACACTAGACCTTCAACATATCTCCTCTGCTAACTTCTCATCAACCAGTGAAGCGGTGGAATTTTACAACAAATCCCTAAACAGTTTCCTGGATCTCCACGCCCCTCTCAAAACCAGAACAGTCACGTTCCCACGCTCAGCCCCCTGGTACACCTCCGAGCTGTGGAATATGAAGGCGACTGGTCGTGTCCTTGAACGGCATCTCAAGGTCTCAGCACTCACTGTGCACAGGCTAGCATATCGGGAACACCAAAAAGCCTACTCAAAGTCCCTCAGAAATGCCAGGTCACAGTTCTACTACAATATCATAAATAATAGCCCCGGCAACTCAAAGCAACTTTTCTCCACCATAAACCATCTCCTAAATCCACCAACCCCCTTCCTCTCAGACACCACAGAGGAGCGGTGCAATGATTTCATGGAGTTTTTCAGAACAAAAGTTGACACCATCCGCTTTCTCCTCGTCAGCTCCGCCTCTCCACCTGTTCCGACTTGCCGACCCACAGCCGGGGACCACCCAGCCTCTCTGCTGCCTCTCTGCAATTACGCAGTGAGAGACTGAGGAGATCATCAAAAAAATGAAACCTTCCACTTGCACCCTGGGTCCCTTTCCCACAGCCCTGGTCAAATCAAACATCTCTGCCATAAGTCCCCTCATCACCAAAGTCGTAAATCACTCCCTACAGACTGGCCATGTTCCATCTGCCTTGAAAACTGCTGTCATATCACCACTTCTCAAAAAACCCACCCTAGACCCAGATGTCTTTGCCAACTACTGGCCCATCTCCAACCTTCCGTTCATTTCCAAAGTGCTGGAAAAAGCAGTTGCAGCTCAACTTCACGACCATCTACAACACAACAAACTATTTGAGAAATTTCAGTCTGGTTTCTGCTCTGCCCAGAAACAGCTCTGGTCAGGGTCACAAATGACGTGCTGATGGCAGCTGATGTTGGTTCTCCATCTCTCCTCGTTCTCCTTGACCTGACAGCAGCATTTGACACCATTGATCACGCCATCCTTCTCAACCGCCTCCACTCTGTCATCGGTCTTTCTGACTCAGCCCTAGACAGGTACTGTTCATACCTCACTGGAAGAACCGAACATGTCTCCCTTGGAGACAAAAAATCCCGGATTCACCTTGTCACCTGTGGTGTCCCTCAAGGATCAGTCCTCGGCCCCACCCTGTTCAATATCTACATGCTACCCCTTGTTCGTGTCATCAGCCAACATGGAATTTAATTCCATTGTTATGCTGATGACACTCAAATATACTTAAAAACAAATCAAACCCCCTCTGCACCCCTGCTATCATCGACACTGACCACCTGCCTGGAGGAGATAGAGGCGTGGATGAAGGCTCCTCCAGGCTGGACTACTGCAACGCACTCCTCATCGGGATCCCTAGCAAAAGCCTCCAGAAGCTCTAACATGTCCAAAACAGCGCTGCTAGGGTCCTGATGAGGGTGC